GCTCCAAGGAGGTTTTGACGGGGTCCGGGCCGGGTTACGCGGTTCCTGGAGCAGCAGGGGCCGGGCACGTCCTGGATCCCTGGGAGCAGGGCTAGCGGATCCCATCGGAGATCCCTGCGCCCCGCCGTGATCGCCGTCTCTCCTGCAGACGTACAGCCTCCTCCTGGACGTGGAGGACTACGAGAGACGCTACCTCCTGAGCCTGGAAGGCGAGCGGCCGGCCCTGATGGGCGAGAGGAAGCAGAAGATCTGCGATATGTACGACAATCTGAGGGGGAAGGCGCCCGGGCAGGAGAGGTGAGCAGAGGCTACGCCCACGACTTGGTCGCCGTCGGGAGCTCAGAGACTCCGTGGGCGCTTGCAGCCGCTGAAGCTGCTTTCCAGGGACCTGTTTCCCAAAGAAGAGTCAGGCTCATCCTTCCAAGGCTGTGTTGGGAACTGGGGGCTGAAATAACCTTTTTATTTTTGGCCTTTTGGCTATTTTCCCCATGAGTTTGTTCACTGTGGTTACCATCGTGTAACAACTTCCATCCCCGCAGCTTGGCTGCTGCGAATAGGGTCTGTCCGCACGCTCGCTGGGTGTCCGTCCGCCCCGTGCCCCGCGTCCCAGCCCGTCTCTGGGAGCCTTTTTAAGTCCGTTGCCTCCTGCCTGACCTCTTGCCTCGGCAGAGCAGGGTCTCGCTGGCTGGGGGAAACAGGCCTTGTCCTGCCTAGCCCGTCAGACAGGCCGAGGTTGGGGTTCGGGGGGTCGTTCCCCCGGTGTTTCCCCAGGGATGTTTCAGAGGTGGGGGCTGGCTGTGGGGTGCCCACGCGCGCTCCGCGTTCCCTGGGCTGCTCCCAGCTGAGCGCCCAGCACCTTTCTCCCCTCCTTGCCAGGCCGAGTGACGACCACTTCATGCAGATCATGTGCATCCGGAAAGGGAAGCGCCTCGTCGCCCGGATCCTCCCCTTCTTGTCACCTGAGCAAGCGGCCGACGTCCTCATGGCGACGGCCAGGAACCTGCCCTTCCTCATCAAGAAGGACGCTCAGGACGAGGTGAGATTCCGGGGGGGGCTGGGAGGGTTCCTCTCGCTCGCTGCGAGGTGGGAGGAGGGCTTGGAGCCGGATCTCCTCCTCTCCTCTGCGCGGCAAGATGGCAGACGGCATCATGTGCCTTAAGGACGCTCGTCTCTGCCTCTCCCGGGACGGCCGGCTGGCACGGCGCGGCCCCGCTTCTCCGGGAGGGTTTTTGATAAATTGCGCCGTTTATTTGAACGAGGCCCAGCTCTCGGCTGAGCGCTTGTCTGAAGGGCCCAGCTCTGACACGTCGGGTGACAGCGGGAGGCTCCCTCT